TCCACCCATCAAATCCACTTCCCTCCAATTTGGAGATGAGGATGTGGTGGGGGACCATGTCAAAGGCCTTGCTCAGGTCCAGGTAAATGACATCGGTCGCCTTCCCTTCGTCCACCAATGCCGTCACTCCATCATAGAAGGCCACAAGATTAGTCAGGCATGACCTTCCCTTGGTGAAGCCGTGCTGGCTGTCTCGGATCACATGCTCATTCTTTATGTGATCCAGCATGTTGTCCAGGAGGATCTGTTCCATGATCTTCCCAGGCACGGAGGTGAGACTCACCGGCCTGTAGTTCCCCGGGTCCTCCCTGCTCCCCTTCTTGTATATGGGAGTGACGTGACCCTTCCTCCAGTCATCCGGGACCTCACCTGACAGCCACAACTTCTCAAATATGATGGAGAGCGGCTCGGCAACCACCTCAGCCAGCTCCTTCAGGACCCTGGGATGCACGCCATCTGGCCCCATAGACTTGTATTCATTCAGTGTAAGGAGGTACTCTCGGACTTGCTCTGCCCTTACAGTGGGGAGGGATTTACCTCCTTGGTCCCCACATAGAGGTTTGGGGATGCAGGGCTCAGGGACGTGAAAAAGACTATAATCCTGGCCACCAGTGAAGACTTTATCACTTTAGACACCCCTTGTTCCATAACAGCCTCGTACACGACATAACATAACACAACACCTTCAGGACATAAACATTAAACAATCACAAAGACAGTGACAATAATCAATACAATTTATCCTCAGGATCCTTTCTCTCTATGCCTCCCTCCAGAGCTCAACCTTCCCTTTGTATTCATTTTCCACACTTGCATAGCTGCCAACCTCCTTCTCCAATTAACAACATATCAATGATAAACATCATTTCCATCCATGAGTACAAATTAGGCCCTAGAAATTGATCTAATTGTTCTGCTACACTTATAGGATCCTCAGTTAAGGAATTCTTCTTGCAAGTCCTAACTTCTCTTCTAGTAAAAACAGCAGGCATTGCCATACCCTCTTTCCCTTTTACCTAAGACTGCCTTAAGAGGATAAAGTGAAGTGTTAGTAAGGTTAGTATTAGAGAAAGGAAAACTATCCAGGTCCCATTTGCATTACTCCAACTCCCTCAGTAATCAACAGCGCATCCTCTCTCCAGGACCCTGCACAGATCAGCAGACGGTCACTCTCCTCCTCTGGAGAGGTCACCGCCGCTTGAGAAATTGCACTGCTTTAGAAATTAAAGGGGGGGAAGTTATCTAAGGGATCCCATTTATGATCTTTCTGCTTCTCTTTCCTATTTCCTTTGAACTTTGACTCCTCTCTAAGAACATTTCTTTACTTCTTGCACTCATTAAGCGACCTAAGCCAATTCTGTTTCAGAAAAGGAGTCTTACTGTTTACATATAAATACAAAGTCTGATAGGCCCAATTTTGTCAGACTCCTATTTTGGTCAAAATAATGATTTTCTCTGTAGTGGCTCCCTACTGTATACAGTATTTAAACATCTTTTCCCTGTTCTTTTCCTAGTTTTGGGATTATTTTCCAATTTTGAAGCACTTCTCCCAAGGGGCTGGCTCTCTCTAGGCACCATTCCGGGGACCTTTTTCCCCTGCTCTCGGGAACTCCTCTTACCCATCCCTCCAGAATGCTACTGTGAACTCCCCAGCTCACAGGTTACCACACTCTGATTCTCGGATTTTGGGCCCAATCCCTCAGCAGTACTACACTCCTATCTCGGATTAATAGGGGTGTGCTGCTGGCACTTCGTCAAGCGCACAGGGTACCGCACACCAACAGTTCCCTCCCGAGACTCTTCCTTCCACCAACACAGCCGCTCCGTCCGTCCCTGGCCGTGCCCCTCGCGGGACAGCGGAACCGCAGGTCGGGACTCAGCGCTCGCTTCGCACTGACAGCGTGTCTCAGTCACACGCACTCAAGAGTCTCAACCGACCCCCAAGGAAAGAGTTAAATCCCCTTACCTTGGTCCGTGCATGAAGTTACCGGGTCGCAATGGCCAACACCCGTGCCTGCCTGCCCCTTGGCTTTCACAAAGTCCGTCCTCTATGAAACAGTCTCGGTTTTTTATCGGCCGTACCAAGGAGTCACCTCAGCACCCAGACAGGACCGCTGAAATCAGCGGGGTGCACCTATCCTGTGAAGGGCAGTAGGGAAACTCTCAAAGAGGTGATAATAATCCCGGACGAGCCCCCAAATTGTTGGAAATAATCCAAGTAATTTTGTCAGGACGGTATCTCTGATAAAAGCAGAATTTATTCACCATTGCAATGGCGGCGTCCCGCAAGCAGGAGCGCGCCTATGGACACAACATGACAGCCTTTATACCCTGTTTTCTCCCCCTTGCCTCCCCCTCCCCTGTTTCCCCACTGGCTGGGTACTCCAGGTTCACAATCTTATCAGAAGGTTTACATTTGCTATTTACTTGTTAATTTATGTGTTATCTGGTGCCAGTCAGTAGTCATCCTGTTGTTTCCAAGATGTCTCGGTGCTCTCCTTGTCCTACTGATATGGTGATTTTCTTTAAAGTCATCATCGTTAAACAAAGAGCACTGGGGGATGATGTCAGGCCTTCCCATGTCTCTTCAGGCGCTTCCTCGGGCTGCCACGACTTGTTCTCTGGTTTGCTCTCGTGCAGGATATTCTTGCAGTGTGTATGACAAAATATACATATATACACTTATATACAGAGTATGCATTCCTGGGAAGGTTCGTCTATATGATAAGTGATGTAAACTTATCAGAGATCTTCCCCAAGTTGAGTAGAAGGACTCCCAAAAAGAACTATGATAGCGGAGATCATAAAATAAAAATAATATTATACAATTCTAATGCAGAAACAACACTTGATTCTCACACCCAGACCCAAACCCCCGGTTAACCCGAGGGCAGTTCCTTCTTGCTGACCTTAAAATCTGTAGATCTACAGCAGCGAACAGCAGAGCTGGCACTTGTATAGCACAGAGCTCAACCAAAGGAACCAAGGAGACCCAGCAGAAAGGGATGCTTCATTAGTGTAACAAAACGCAGCCCACATACCTCGCTCCCTCCCCCGGGTGCAGATGTGCCATGAGAACGAGCTGTGAAACTGCCCAAGGCCCGGCAGCCGGCTCGGGCCGTGCTCGCTGTGGGAATTGCTGCCTGCACCTGAGGCTGTGCCGAAGCGGCCAGAGCCTGGCCGGAAGCCGTCCGGGCAGCACGGCGGTGGCAGGAGGAGCAGCGAGGCCGTGCTGCGGCCAGCTCCGGGCTGAGGGCACTCGGCAGCCTCTGCTCTCCGCGACTCCCAGGAGCCCGGTTGTCTGCACCAGACGGGAGCAGCCTGCTCCACACCCAAGGTAGGAGCCTTTCGCGGCTCGTGCATAGGAGCGCACGCTTCCTGCCCCCTGCCAGCAGCAGCGGGATCCGAGCGGGGTGCGGCACCGTGCGGGGCGGAACCGGCACTGCTGTAGCCCAGGCGGGAGCCCGGTCCCGGCTCCAGCTCCTGCCCAGCACAGTGGGTTTGCTGGGCCAGACGGGCAGCAACGAGGGGAACAGCGGATTATAGGCGTGTTGCTGCCCAGCTTGGGCTCCGAGGGCCGCAGGAAGGGGTTGGAGCTGGGAGAGCAATGAAGTGAGCAGAGGAGCTCAGCGTGCTCTGCTGCCCGGTCGGCTCTCTGTAACACAGCCCAGCTGGGACTGCACTTCTCCCTCTGGATCACGGGAGATACGAGATTACCTCGCTGTGCAGCTCTGCACGCGTGGATTGATGGAAGCTTTCAACTCCCCATGCTTCCTTTTGAGTGTCTGAATGTGAAGCCCCCTGGGGGGAATTTCCACTCCCATTCCCCTTCCCTGGCAGCCCGCAGTTTCCCCTGGGGGACCCAGCAGGCAACATCTGCCTCTAGCGGCCCTTTCAGGGTTACCTTTTGTGCGCTTAGTGCTGTGCTGATGGCTCACCTGGGGATGTGCAAACCCCTCCCAAGGCTTCTGTTCAGGCTGTCCCGGCAGCTGCAGATGCCTTTAGCGCACAGCTGCCGACCGTGAGCACAGCCAGCATCTGCAGCAGCTCTGGCACTGGGCTGTGTAATAGAGGCTGAAAGGCTGAGGGCCTGTGGGCTGACTGGAGCACACGTCGAGAACGCGCCCGAGCAGCACATCAGTAAAGTGCAGCCCAGGCTGCCTCGTGCAAAAGGCGCACGGTGCTCAGAACCGTGCCCTGAAGTGAGTGCGGTGTGCGTGCGGAGCGGAATGGGAAGCGGCGCCCCCTGGTGGGGGAGGAGGGAAATTTAGCCGCCGAGGCATTCCTGGTGCAATGGAGAAAAGGGGCTTGTTTGACGAGGAGAAGAGAAGGCTCCGGGGAGACCACATTGTGGCCTTCCAGGACGTGAAAGAAAAGCATAAACTAGTGGGGGAACGGCTTTTTACGAGCGTGTATAGTAATGGGACACGGGGGAATGGTTTTAAATTGAGACAACGGAGATTTAGGTTAGATTCAGAAGATGTTTTGCAGTCAGAGAGTGGTGACACACTGCACGATGTTGCCCAGGGAGGTCGTGGATGTCCTATCCCTGGATGCATTCGAGGCCAGGCTGGATGTGTCTCAGGGCAGCCTGGTGTGGTGGATGGTGACCCTGCGCATAGCAGGAGGGTAGAAACTAGATGGTCATTGAGGACCTTTTCAACCCAGGCCATTCTACGATTTTGTGATTACCTTGAGATCTTCACTGTAACACATCACCTTAGAGAAGCTCACAAAGCTCCAAACTAACCTTGGGTCTCTTACAGAAGATCTGTGTCAGCAAGGTGTGTTGACATCAACCTTGAGTGGGATCTCTGTAGAGGTGTGAAATTGAGAGCCATCCCTGATTGTAGGGAGATCTTGTTGTGCAGCCCTTTGCTGTGCAGGAGAGCTCAAGGGACACTTGGGCTGCTCCCTGTTTAGGGGTAAGATGACTGCCTCCTTGCTATGCATTGTCTTTAGGCACACAGTCCTCAGCTGTTGAACGTGGTGTCAGTTCTTTGTGCCACCCAGTTGGAGTCAGCTTTGTGATTTGTAATCAGCTTCAGCCAGAGCGTTACCAGTGCTGTTGCTGCTTGTGTTCCTGTGCAAGGCCTGCTGTGCCATCCCCCAGGCAGTGCCCTGCAGATGGGCTGTGGAGGGCTGGGCTGGGACAGGGACTGCTGCGTTCCCTCACAGCTCCCCTGCCATTTCTCTTGTCCCTGCAGGCTCCAGTTCAACTCTGCCTTCCAGCCATGATCAGCTCAGCTGCAGGGGAGCAGCAGATGGCCACAGCACATGCATCTCAGGTAGGGGCTGGGGGAAGCAGGCAGGAGAGGCCGAGGGGCGAGGGATGTGAATGCAGGGTGAGAGGGAGGTGGCCTCAGCCAGCGTGTGTGCGCTGGGGCCAGAGAAGCGGCTGGGACGGGAGTTTGTGTCCTGTGTGAGCTGCTTCCCTGGGCCTTGGCTGTTCCCAGCAAGGAGCCTCTTTGCTTGCAGGAGCCCGTGAGCTTTGCGGAGGTGGCCGTGTCTTTCAGCAGGGAGGAGTGGGCGCTGCTGGACCCTGCGCAGCGAGCGCTGTACCGGGACGTGATGCTGGAGACGTACCAGTGCGTGGCCTCGCTGGGTGAGGGCTTTGCTGCCTTTCCTCCTCGTTAGGGCACCTTAGGCTGTGCAGAATGAGCCTCTGCAGGCCGGGCCTAGAATGATCACCATGCAGGCTGCAACTAACATAATTGCCTTGCAGTTCCATACTGATAACTATAACAGCAACAAAGGAAAGACTGAGAATTGTGATTTTCAGAAAGGATTAGTATGCACAGCAGACTCATATATGCCCCAGAGTCAGTGCTCGCAAGCAGGCATCAGCCAGGACTAAGAAAACCAGCCCTTGTGGTGGTGCTTTACATCGTGCCAACATCTCCAGCTAACAGATGACTCCCTGTTTACTCCTTTACAATGTAGCGTTTTGCTTTCAATTTGCATAAACATTTTGATGCCTTGTTCTCTGATATTTGTCAGAAAATAAATGAACTGTTCTCAAGTTCATTTTGAAGAAAATATCCCTTTGGAGTTTTCAGAGTTGTAAAAGCATTTTTTTCTCCAAAGGAAGCTGTGGGCCCAGTGTCATTCAGGCCCAAAGTGAGATTTCTCCCTGGGGAGGGGACACAGAGTGGAGCTGTTGAACAGGCACTGTACCAGAATGAAGGAATTGTTCTCATCTCCCCTGTTTCTCTCATTGAAGCTCCACTTCCAGCCTCCAAACCCATGGTGATCTCCCTGCTTGAAGGAGGGGAAGAGCCCTGGATCCCAGATGTGCGTAGCCCTGAGGCCGTGCCAGGAGACTTCAGCCCAGGTGAGGTGGTGGAGGGAAGGAGGAGGTTGGGTCTGGAAGAGCCATCTCTGTCTGTGTTTTATTTTGGGCACCGTGTGCTATTTCTGGATTTCCTGTCATCCAGCAGGAACTGGGATTGCAGATATACTGGAGGACCTGCAGGAAAGTGGTGTGGCCGAAAGGCGGTGGGGTGGTGTCTGTGTGGAAGAAATCAGAAGTGATGTCCAAGGAGTCCTGGAGCAAGGTCAGGGTGAGCACATCATGGAGCCACTGGGAAAGGGTCTGGGAAAGACAGTATGCAGCCCACAACATTTCAGTGTAGGTCAAAAGGAGCCTGAAGAACCCAGGAGCAAGAATGTGTGCCAGCAGAAAAAGCAGAATCCCTGCTCTGAGTGTGGAAATAGCTTTGAAAAAGATTCCAGCATTGTTTATCATCAGTGCATACATTCTTCAGTGACCCCAAACAAGACCTCTGGGTGTGGGAAGAGCTTCAAGAGCTGTTCTGCATTGAAGCTGCACAGGCGCGTACACACAGGACAAATGCCATTTCAGTGTCCTGAGTGTGGGAAGAGCTTCAGAAGGAGTTCTGAATTGCAGATGCACCAGCGCTTCCACACAGGGGAGAGACCCTACAAGTGCTCTGATTGTGGGAAGAGCTTCACAATGAGTTCTGATTTAAAGAGGCATGAGCGCATCCACACAGGTGAAAAACCCTACAAGTGCTTTGAGTGTGGAAAGAGCTTCACAATCAGTTCTATTTTAAACAGGCACCAGCGTATCCACACAGGGGAGAGACCTTACAAATGTCCTGAGTGTGAGAAGAGCTTCAGAAGCAGTTCTGAATTGAAGTTGCACCAGCGCTTCCACACAGGTGAAAAACCCTACAAGTGCTCTGAGTGTGGGAAGAGCTTCAAGAGGTGTTTTGAATTGAAGCTGCACAAGCGCATACACACAGGAGAGAAACCATTTCAGTGTCCTGAGTGTGGGAAGAGCTTCAAAAGCAGTTCTGAATTGAAGCTGCACCAGCGCATCCACACAGGGGAGAGACCCTACAAGTGCTCTGAGTGTGGGAAGAGCTGCACAAGCAGTTCTGATTTAAGGATACACCAGCGCATCCACACAGGGGAGAGACCTTACAAATGTCCTGAGTGTGAGAAGAGCTTCAGAAGCAGTTCTGAATTGAAGTCGCACCATCGCATCCACACAGGTGAAAAACCATACAAGTGCTCTGAGTGTGGGAAGAGCTTCAAGAGGTGTTTTGAATTGAAGCTGCACAAGCGCACACACACAGGAGAGAAACCATTTCAGTGTCCTGAGTGTGGGAAGAGCTTCAAAAGCAGTTCTGAATTGAAATGCCACCAGAGCATCCACACAGGAGAGAGACCTTTTCAGTGTCCTGTGTGTGAGAAGAGCTTCACAAGAAGGTCTAATCTCAACACCCACAAGCACATCCACAGTGCATGCAGGCTGTAGAACAATCACAAGATACGGGGAGCCTTCAAAAGCAGTTCCAGCCTCATTACCTACCAACACAGCCACACAAGATACAGAACCTGCAGAGCTCCAAAGATGGGAAGAGCTACAGCCAGAGCCCCAGCATGATGACCACCTGTGGCTTTGTGTGGTGATGAACCTTACAAATCTCTTGAGTAGAGGAAGAGCTCTGTGGCCAAACTCAATCCTCTTTCTCCTTCATTGCATGAGAATTATGCATATTGCTGTCCTTCAGCTGGAGTTTCTGTGTTGAGTGGCCATGCAAAGGAGAATCCAGAGTGGGATGTGTCACAGCCATGTATGGGAAGAACTTTTGCCAGAGGATCCTCTCAGAGCAATGACCCTAGAAATGCCTGCACTGCAGGAAGAGCTCATCCTGAGCTCAGTCGTCATTAAACATTGTCAGTCCTTGTGATAAAGTGGCCCTGCAAGTGTCTCTGGTGCAGGAAGTTTTTCTCTGGGCTGGCACCTCCTTTCTCACGGGGAAACCCCCTACAGAGAGACCTTATGAATGTTGGTGAGCCCAAGGATGAGGGAGACCCAGATGCTTCTCCCCACACGGGAGGAGTTTGCAAAGGAGATGGCATCACTGGCACCCTCTGCAGAAGGGATTTAACCCAGGAGCTTCAGATGGCCTCTCCTTGCTACCCAAATCCTGCTTTCCTCTTCTTTCTTCCTGCCAGCAGCTTTTTGATGCCATTTCCTAAGGAGAGGCATCTGTGTAGGGATGTTCTGTGTGTCTGTGTGCATGTGTTGCTCTCAGTAATTTGTGAGTGCGCTGATGAATCTGCGGGAAGAGTCAGGAGAGCAGTAACGTAGATCTTGGACATTTTCTGAGAATCATCTGTAGTAGAAAGGGAAGGGGGTGAATAAAGTAGCTGAGTTGTTCTGGAGCTTTCTTCACTGTCGTCTTGTTTTTTGTTCTTAAATGTCAGCACATGGAATGAGGAGAGGGAAAGGTGCAATCAGGATTTGGTTTTGGTGCCTCCTCCAACCCACTGCTTGCTTTTGGGAAGGCATTTCCGTACGAGGAGGGAGAAAAACTGGCCTTCTATTGGTGTCTATTGGCCTTTTGTTTACAAGTCTTGTGTGTTTTCCTTCTTTTCCTTTCTGCTGTCACACTCACCACCTGAAAGTCAGTGCACCCATTTTTGCCTGTCAGGAAACTGCCTGTTTGCAGGGCAGTATCTGTGTGCATGCTTATCTTTGCAGGTATCATCACAGAATCACAGAACTGTAGGGGTTGGAAAGGACCTCTAGAGATCATCGAGACCAACCCCCCTGCCAAAGCAGGTTCCCTACTGCAGGTCACACAGGTCGGCATCCAGGCAGGTCTTGAACATCTCCAGAGAAGGAGACTCCACGACCTCCCTGGGCAGCCTGTTCCAGTGCTCCATCACTGACTACATTTCCCTCTTGCATCCCCACACTGCTATCCCCCTGCTGGCTGTGCCTCCCTCTGCCTGACAGAGCTGCCATCTGTGTCACAGGGGTTGTGCTGCACTCACTGACATCTCTGTGTCTGCTGTAATAAAAAATACCCTTAAATGTGACAACTCCTTTTTTGGACAGTGCTCCTGGAAAACATTGTCTGCAACACTGAGACCTCCCTCATGAACAGTTCAGATCTTCAAGACTTGAGGGAAATGCCTTGTTAGGTCTTTCTGCACTGTAATGAGTCCCACAGCGAATGTGGTGTCCATGAACTTCAGGTACTGAGAGAAGACGGCTGCAATCAAACGATGAAGGTGCAGTCAGAACACTGTCCAGAAATGTTGGAGAGTGTTGGAGTATTAATTGGTCCCTGTGGAGCCATTACCAACAAAGCCTCCCCACATCCATGTTAGAGCAGATAATAGGAGGCCGTGATTCCTGGCAGGCAAAGGCCCTGTGCAGGTGCTTTCAAGCTGAGGAAAGCCCTTGATATGTCTGATGCAACAGAAGGGTAGGGCCATAGCTGCAGCCTTTGGGAAGGGTGGTCCTGTCCCTCCCTGATGGCCCAAGGCTCTCCCACAGTCAGTGGGATGTGGCTGTGGAGTGTTCTGTGAGCGAGAATGATAGGACACCTCCCTACAGGGCTGTAAGAAGGCAAGGAGCAAGGACAAGGCAAGGAGCGTGGAACAAGGACAACGTGTGTACTTGTCACGGAGATGACCAGATCAATCTATGTCCGTGATAGAGGCAACAGGCCTCGGCCCTCCCCACCCCAGTCCCACAAAAATTGGTAGGAAGGAAGGGAGAAAAAGAACAGCGGCAACAATCTATGGAGGAAAACTTATTTTACTATAATATCGGAATACAAGATAACAGAATATATTACAATTTAATTGAAATTGAGATTAATAAATCAGACAAGATGAGAAGGGTACAACAGAAGGGTAGGGCCATAGCTGCAGCCTCTGGGAAGGGTGGTCCTGTCCCTCCCTGATGGCCCAAGGCTCTCATATTGTCAGTGGGATGTGGGTGTGGAGTGTTCTGTGAGAGAGAATGATAGGACACCTACTGGCCTCTCTACAGGGCTGTAAGGTGGCAAGGAGGCCCCCGTGGCACAAGGACAACGTGTGCCCTCCTGAGCCTCAGCAGCAGACACAGCTGCCACATCCTAGAGGACAAAGACCTTGGTTTTCTTTTGGGTCCCTTCAGCCTTGCCAATGCTGTTGGCCATCTCCACCAGAGGCTGTTCCATGCAGTCCTACACTCACCTCCTTTTCCCTGCAGGCTGCAGACACTCATCTTGACTCCTGCACTGGCACTCACCTGGCATTGCCTTACTCTGATGGTTCTGCAGTCTCACTAGTTGTTCCTTGTGACACAACTGCATGGACTGATCACAGAGTCCAGATGGGCGTCTGTCTTGCTCCAATTTATTGGAGGGAGAGGAGGTTCTTTTATTGTCTATATACCCGGCGTGAGATTAAGAAGCAACGGTTCAAATGTTGGTCCGACCAGTTTATTACAAATGTTAATTAGGGAGATGGGGAAGGGGAGGACGGACACTATTACGAATTAGGGTGATGGGGAAGGAGGGCGATGAGAAAGATGGGAAAGAAGAACAAGGAGTCTTTATAGGAAGCAAGAGGGAGATAGTCACCACCATGGATCCAGCAAGGTTCGCAGTTCAGTCTTTGCTCTTCAGTAGTGGTGTGTCATCAGGCAGAGTCGTTCTATTGACGATGACCACGACGAATGATGGCCCCTTTTCAGTGCTTTCAAAGTGGTCGAGTCAGGTGTCTTTGGAGTGACAGCTTCAATCCAAAGTGGTTGAGTCAGCTCTCCTTGGAGTGGCAGCTTCTGGCTCTGGGATCTCAGCAGCAAATTCCTTTGTTCCTATCTTCCTGGCCTTGCCAGCAGATAAGAGGGAGCAGGGAGGCACCAACTTGTATCTTGCCTTCACAGGATGCAATGGCATCGTCCCCCAGTCTCCCATAGCAAACAGGAGTTATTTGCTCACACGCTAGGTCTTCTGCCAGTAAACAGTCCTGAGCACTATCTTCTGAAGGCAAACAGCTAAAATTGTCCACACAGTGATGTTGATTGCCATACAACAGCACCCATCACTCATATTCTAGACAAGTCAGTCTTATCACAAGAAATACCTCAGGAAGCAAGCTTGGAGCCAAAAAAAAAAAAAAAAAAAAAAAAAGGATTCTCACAGCGTCTCAGGCAAGACAGCACCACCTTTGGAGGTGAGTGCTGAGCTGCCAGCTTGTGCAGAAAGAATCACTTCTAAGGTCTGTACACAGATCTCCAGCTCATCCTGTTCATTTCCCATGCTATGCACACTGGTCTACAGGCACTGCAGGGAAGCAGCAGGTGCAGTTACCCCTAGAGGGTGCAAGAGGATTTTGGATGGGGTATTGGCAACATGACCTTCTCTGAGGAGTCCCTGTATGATCCTATGGGACAGCTCAGAGGTTTTTCCCTGCAATCTCCCACAGTGACAACATCCCTCAGCCCTTCTCTGCCACACTGAATTCCCCTCTCTTGCCTCTTTGGACCTAGTTTAAAGACTTGGAAATCATTCCAGAGAGCTTGCTCCCCAGCACACGTGTGCCCCGCTTGCTCAGTCGGGCTCCATCAGGAGCCTACATACCCAGTTTCCCAAAAGCCATCACAAGATCAGAATACCCAAAGCTTTGATCACAACGCTGCCCCTTCAGCCAGGCAGCAAAAGGGAGCCTCAGTGCTCGCCAGCCAGGGGCCCCCAATTACTAAGACTGTCCATCCTTTTTTGGTGGCACTGATATTGATGCAGTGCCCTGTCTGGCCCCCTGCCCTGCATTCTAAACGTTCTTCTAGTGACATGAGTTCTGACTGCACAGTTTTGCATTTCCTCACTCAAAGAATGTGAGACATTGTCACTGTAGATAACAGCAGCAGTAGGAAGTTTGAGAAGCAAAATGACTGCCCTCACACTGTATTTTGCCCACTGACTGATTTTTAGTCCCCTAAACAAGCCAGAGAGTACTTCTGCTCCTGTGAGCAGAACTGTAAGCTCCATTCCATCCACTCCACCAGTACCAGTATCACCAGCAACACCACAGCCATCCATCACACACAGCACACCCGTCACAGGACCGTTCCCACCACCTCTCACTCATGCTGATGATGCTGCAGCACACAGGGCCTCCGACTTTGGAGGCCAATGCGAAAAACCAGTAACACCTAACAGCCTTGCACATGGGCACCTGGGGGCTGGTTGTTCCCTTGGGAGCTCTGTCTGTGCCTGTGTTGATTCCATGGGTGCAGAGGTGACCTATGACATGGAGGGCAGAGCTTTCTGTGGGGTGGATGAAACTATTGGTAGAATTCATCAAGACAAAACCTCCCAAGTGAACATCCACCCTGAGAATGGAAGGCCCCCTCCTCCATGCCTACCATTCCACCACCACAGGGAAAACAAACCACTGTGGCACCTGAAGTGCTCCTGTTCCTCTAGACAGGTCACTGCAGTCACACCTCTGCAGGGACTCTCATCTGCAACAGAAGGGCTTTCCCCAGAGCAGAGGGAAAGCAGGGAAGCAGGAGGAGTGGAAATAATGGAAACTTAGCTTAACTAAATGGAAATAAATGTGACATGTGACACAATACTAGGCGGAATCCGCAGTTAAAAAAATGTTTTAGGGAGTGAAAGTGGAAAATCGTTTTTATTTTCATTTCTGGGAAGACCTGCACAATATTTCTCAGAATAGAAATGTAAGATGAAAACAAAAAAGGTGAAAATGCTGTTTGGGAAACGTAAAAGGGAAGGGGAGACACATGCCTGATACCACATGAAAGGAATTATTGGATGCAGTTGAAAAGTAAATCACCCTAACTCTTGGCTGAGCCGTTGTCTCCTGTTCGTGGTGATCCCAATATCTTGAAGCTTCCTGCTCCCTCCCCACACATTTTCTCTTGGAGCTGTGTGTTGGCCCGTCCTCTGTGGCCCTGCTGTACCTCTCTTGCACCAGACCAGGCCCTGCTTCCTGGGATGGAGGAAGCAGCACCTCGGTGCAGCAATCATCATCTCCTTGCAGCTTGCTGGGGGGTCAGGAAGCCTTCAGAGAACCTCACCTGAAGACATGGGCAAGCCCCTGCTGGCTTCACTAGCTCACCAAAATCAACTCCACATCCTGCCAACTGCATTCCAAGCACAGCAGCTTTACCAGAGCACAGCAAATGTGCAGGATCTGCTGCAGGAGATTGTGGATACACTTTCCCAAGGTCAACCAAAAACCTTCAAGCTCAAATGGGATCACTTGCAAGGCAAGCATGCACAGGAGAGCACTCTGATATCTCTGTGCTGTGGGGATGAGCTGCTTGTGCACCATGTGGGTTTGCGCTGCCTTCTGCTCTCTCCACCTCCTGAAACATGGGATGGTGCATTTAGGAAGAACAACCTCAGCTTTTTGTAGCTTTATTGGAGGCAAACAAGGCTTGGCGTCACACAGCTGCTCTGACCAGCTGATCAAAGCATTCAAGAACAGCAGTAGAACCAATGTGCAACACGGTTAGGAAGGTTGATAGGGTTGTGTGAAAGAAATGTCTTCTCCAGAAGCAATCACTGGGCTGGAGGAGGCACCAAAACCAAATCCTGATTGCACCTTTCCCTCTCCTCATTGCACGTACTGACATTTATTTTGAGAACAAAATACAAGACTACAATGAAGAAAGCTTCAGTAAAACTCAGCTGAGTTATTGACCCCCTTCCCTTTCCTCTACAGATGATTCTCAGAAAACCTCCAAGAGCCACATTACTGCTCTCCTGATCCTTCCCTCAGGTTAATCAGTGCACTCACAAATTACTGAGAGCAACACATGTACACAGGCACACAGAACATCCCTGCACAGCCGCTTCTCCTTAGGAAACGGCATCAGAAAGCTGCTGGCAGAGAAGAAGAGGAAAGCGAGTGTGGTGAGAGAACTGCTTTGGGTAGCAAGGAGAAGCTTGGAACGGCTAGGAAAGCACCTCCAGCAGCCACTGCCAGGCAGCAAGAGAGCACCCCCCCCACCCAGAAGGGCCAGATCCCGTGCCTTCTGTAATGTACAGGGATAGGTACCTGGGATTGGGCATTAACACTTTAATACCCCGTACACTACATGATGTTTTGATGTGGAATACTGAAACCCAAAATAAAAACAAACAAACAAACAAACAAAAAACATAGAACCATGACACTGGGTTAAGTCCCTTCTGCAGAGGGTATCAGTGATGCCATCTCCTTTCCAAGCTCCTCCTGTGTGGGGAGAAGCATCTGGGTCTCCCTCATCCTTGGGCTCGCCAGCATCCACAAGGACTCTTTGCTGCGGGTTTTCCTATGAGAAAGCAGGTGTCAGCACAGAGAGAAACTTCCTGCACCAGAGACACTTGCAGGGCCTCCTTATCACATGGACTGGACAGTGTTTAAAAGGATCTGGACATTAGGAAGTATTACTTTTCAGAAAGAGTGGTCAGGCACTGGAATGGACTGCCCAGGGAGGTGGTGGAGTCACCGAGCCTGGAGGTGTTCAAGGAAAGGCTGGATGTTGTGTTGAGGGACATGGTTTAGTGGGAGCTATTGGGAATAGGTGAACGGTTGGACTGGATGATCTTTTCCAACCTTGGTGATTCTATGATTCTATGATTCTATGATTGTGCTCTGGATGAAGCTCCTGGGTTAAATCCTGGGTTAAATTTTGCAGAGGGTGGCAGTGATGCCATCTCCTTTGCAAACTCCTCCTGTGTGGGGAGAAGCGTCTGGGTCTCCCTCATCCTTGGGCTCACCAAAATTCTTAAGGTCTCTCTGTAGGGAGTTTCCCCATGGGAAAGCAGGTGCCAGCCCAGACAGAAATTTCCTGCACCAGAGACAAATGCAGGGTCAATTTATCACATGGACTGGACAATGTTTAATGAGGATTGAGCTCTGGATGGAGCTCTTCCTGCAGCGCAGGCATTTCCATGGTCTCTGCACTGAGTGGATCCCCTGGCAAAAGCTCTGCCCACACATGGGACATTTGTAGCACTTCTTCCATGAGTGCCATCTCCTGTGAGTGAGGAGCTCTGCACTCTGCACAAAGCCCTTCTCACACTTGAGGCATTTCTAAGGCTTCCTGCCACGTGAACTCACTGGTGCAGGCACGGATTGGACTCCACCCAAGTGCAGACACTCTGGTACCTCAGCAGGTTTGAGTTGTGGCCAAAGCTTTTCTTGCGGGGTGCACATCTGTAGGCTTCCTCACGTGGATCCACCGGTGTGTGATGAACTGCCAGCTGTGGACAGACCTCTTCCTGCAGTCACGGCACTCACTGGGACTCTCCTCTTGGGTTGGTTCTCTGGCGTCTACTGAGGGTTGAGCTCCAGATGAAGCTCTTCCCACACGGCCTGCAGACAGGATTTCTTCCTTCCTGGTGACGTATCAACCCAGCTGAGGTTTCCTTTGTGTCCTCACCTACTGCCCCACAGCAGAGGAGTTTCTGCAGGGGAGGTAAGAGGTGACTCTCCTTTCATGCAGCCCTGGCTGAAACGTGCCACCTGGCAGAGGGTTTCCAGTGGCTGTGATACATCCCACTCTGGATTCTCTCCTTTGCATGGCCACTCAACACAGAAACTCCAGCTGAAGGACAACATAATTCTCATGCAAAGAAATAGAAAGAGGATTTAGTTTGGCAGCTGAGCTCTTCCTCTACTCAAGAGATTTGTAAGGTGCATCACCACACAAAACCACAGGTGGTCACCAGGCTGGGGCTCTGGCTGAAGCTCTTCCCATGTTTGGAGCTATCATGGTTTTGCGATTTTTGGTTTTTTGTATTCCACATCATAACATCAGGTTGGGCACTGGGAATTTAACTGATAATGCTCAAGTTCTGGATACCTGCCCAGAAGAGAAGAAGAACTACATTCCCCAGGGGACTTTGCGGTCACGGAGAGGAGATAGAGCTCCTGGCAAGGTCACCTGATGGGCTCTTTCTCCTCCGTTCTTTGTCGGCTCTCCTCCTGTCACCCTGCTGCTCAACTGGAGTGCGCATCTCACCTCAGCGTTCTGATGAGGCCTACCCACCCTTCGGACATTCTCTCTCTCACTGTATTTTATTTATTAGCTTCAATTCTAATTATATTGCATTACGGCGTGTTATCTGGCATTCCAATACTATATTTAGTAAATCAGTTTGTTTCTCCTCAGGTCGTTGCCTCTGTTTTTAATTTTTTTTAGGGTCCCCTGTTTCCCTTTTTTCCAGGGATTTTGCGAAATCCCTCCATGCGCTGGTCACGGAACTGGGTCAAACCAGCCCGTAAACTGTTGACAGGAGCTCTGCAGGCTCTGTGTCTTGTGTGGCCGTGCTGGTAGATATTGAGGCTGGAACTGTTTCTGAAGGTTCCCCGTATCCTGGGGATGCTTTACAGCCTGTGTGCACTGTGGATGTGCTTGTGGGTGTTGAGATTAGACCTGTGTTTGAAGCTTTTCTCACACTCAGGACATTTATAGGGTCTCTCCCCTGTGTGCGTGTGCTGATGGCTCTTCAATTCAGAATTCCTTCTGAAGCTCTTCCCACACTCAGGACACTTATAGGGTCTTTCTCCTGTGTGGATGCGCTGGTGGCGCTTTGAATCTGAACAACTTTTGAAGCTCTTCGCACACACAGAGCACTTGTAGGGTCTCTCCCCTGTGTGTGAGCGCTGGTGCAGCTTCAATTCAGAACTGCTTTTGAAGCTTTTCTCACATTCAGAACACTTGTAGGGTCTCTCTCCCGTGTGTAAGCGGAGGTGGTACGTGAGGTGGGAATGTGTATTTACGGTCTTCCCACATTCAGAGCACTTGTAGGGTCTTTCTCCCGTGTGTAAGTGGTGGTGGTATGTGAGGTGGGAATGGGTTTTTAGGGTCTTCCCACACTCAGAGCACTTGTAGGGCCTCTCTCCTGTGTGCAAGCGCTCGTGTTGCTTCACTTGAAAAATCCTTGTAAAGCTCTTCCCACACACAGAGCACCTGTAGGGTCTCTCTCCTGCGTGGATGCATTGGTGGTATGTGAGTTGGGATTTCTTCTTGAAGCTCTTTCCACAATAAGAACACTTGCATAGGCTCTCTGTTGAATGAATGCACTGGTGATAAACAATGCTGGAATTTTTCAAAGCTATTTCCACTCTCAGTACATGGATTCTGCATTTCTTTCTGGCACACATTCTTGCTCCTGGGTTCTTCAGGCTCCTTTTGACCTACGTTGAAGTCCAATGGGCTGCATCCTGTCTTTCCCAGACCCTTTCCCAGTGGCTCCATGAGCTGCTCACCCTGACCTTGCTCCAGGCCTCCTTGGACATCCCTTCTGATTTCTTCCACACAGACACCACCCCACCGCCTTTCGGCCACATCACTTTCCTGCAGGTCCTCCAGTACATCTGCAATCCCAGTTCCTGCTGGATGAAAGAGGAAATCCAGAAATAGCACACGGTGCCCAAAATAAAACAGAGACAGAGATGGCTCTTCCAGACCCAACCTCCTCCTTCCCTCCACCACCTCATCTGGGCTGAGGTCTCCTGGCACGGCCTCAGGGCTACGCACATCTGGGATCCAGGGCTCTTTCCCTCTTTCAAGCAGGGAGATCACCATAGGTTTGGGGGCTCGAGGTGGAGCTTCGATGGAAGAAATATGGAGATAAGAGTGTTTCTCAGAATCTGGCACAGCCGCTTAAACAGCAACTTTGCAGTAGATCCATCACCATGGTGAAAACAAGGTTAGGGCCATAATAACAGTGGGCAATCACATAACCATTAGAATGTTTCCTTTAATATTTTCCAAACAGCTCAATGGCCAATTCTTCAAGAATGTTCATGGGAATGGACTAGACAATCTTGCAGGTTGTTTCCAACCTTGCCATTCAATGATTCTATGAATGGAATATAGAGGCAATAAATGCAGAAGTAACAACCTGGAAGTGCTCTGTCTGCTGGGGCTGGAATCACCATACAATGCAGCAACACAAGGGCTGTTTGCAGGGAGCTGGTTCTCCTGCTCCAGGCTGATGCTTGTTTGCCAAAACTGACACTGGGGCTTTTATCAGTCTGTTGTGCATACTAACCAATTCTGATAGTCATGCTTCTCAGTCTTTCCTTTGTTGCTGTTGTACTTATCAATATGTAACTACATGGCAATTTTACTAGCTCCAGCCTGCAGAGGCTCATTCTGCACAGCCAGAGGTGCCTTAACGAGGAGGAAAGGCAGCAAAGCCCTCACCCAGCGAGGCCACACACTGGTACGTCTCCAGCATCACGTCCCGGTACAGCGCTCGCTGCGCAGGGTCCAGCAGCGCCCACTCCTCCCTGCTGAAAGACACGGCCACCTCCGCAAAGCTCACGGGCTCCTGCAAGCAAAGAGGCTCCTTGCTGGGAACAGCCAAGGCCCAGGGAAGCAGCTCACACAGGACACAAACTCCCGTCCCAGCCGCTTCTCTGGCTCCAGCACACAGACGCTGGCTGAGGCCACCTCCCTCTCCCCTTGCATTCACATCCCTCGCCCCTCGGCCTCTCCTGCCTGCTTCCCCCAGCCCCTACCTGAGATGGATGTGCTGTGGCCATCTGCTGCTCTCCTGCAGCTGAAATGATCACGGCTGGTAGGCAGAAGTTACACCGGAGTCTGCAGGGACAAGAGAAATGGCAGGGGAGCTGTGAGGGAACGCAGCAGTCCCCGTCCCAGCCCAGCCTTCCACAGCCCATCTGCAGGGCACTGCCTGGGGGATGGCACAGCAGGCCTTGCACAGGAACACAAGCAGCAACAGCACTGGTAACGCTCTGGCTGAAGCTGATTGCAAATCACAAAGCTGACTCAGACTGGGTGGCACAAAGAACTGACACCACGTTCAACAGCTGAGGGTACATGGACTGTGTGCCTAAAGACAATGCATAGCAAGGAGGCAGTCATCTTACCCCTAAACAGGGAGCAGCCCAAGTGTCCCTTGAACTCTCCTGCACAGCAAAGGGATGCACGACAGGATCTCCCCACAGTCAGGGATGGCTCTCAAGGCCACATCTGTACAGAGATCCCACTCGGCTTCATGTCAAGACACCTTGCTGACACAGATCTTCTGTAAGAGATTCACGGTTAGTTTGGAGCTTCCTGAGCTTCTCTAACGTGCTTTGTTAGAGTGATTATCTGAAGGTAATCACAGCATCAGAGAATAGCCTGGGTTGAAAAGGACCACATTGACCATCCAGTTTCAAGCCCTTGCTGTGTGCTGGGTCACCATTCACCAGACCAGCCTGCCTGATCAAAAGCCAAGGGAGGAGTTTGCACATTCCCAGGTGAGCCATCAGCACAGCACTAAGCGCACAAAAGGTAACGCTGCAAGGGCCGCTAGAGGCAGATGTTACCTGCTGGGTCCCTGAAGGGGAACTGCGGGCTGCCCGGGAAGGGGGAGGAGAGTGGAAATTCCCGCCTTGGATGCTTCACAAAGGAGGCATCGGGGAGTTGAAAAGTTTCCATCAAACAATCCATGCGTGCAGAACTGCAAAGCGAGGTCATCTCGTGTCTCCCGTGGCCCAGAGAGAAAAATGGAGTCCCAGCTGGGCTGTGTAACAGAGAGCCGACGGGGCAGCAGAGCACGCTCGGCCCCTCTGCTCACTTCCTCGCTGTCCCAGCTCCAACCCCTTCCTGCGCCTCTCAGAGCCCAAGCCGGGCTGCAACACGCCTGGGAGCCGCTGCTGGCCTCGTTGCAGCCCGTCTGGCCCAGCAAACCTGCTATGCAGGGCAGGAGCTGGAGCCGGGACCGGGCTCCCGCCTGAGCTACAGCAGTGGCGGTTCCGCCGCGCCCGGTGCCGCTCCCCGCACGGATCCCGCTGCTGCTGGCAGGGGGCAGGAAGCGTGCGCTCCTCTGCACGAGCCGCGAAGGGCTCCTACCTTGGGTGCGGAGCAGGCTGCTCCCGCCTCTGATGCGGGCAACCGGGCTCCTGGGAGTCGCGGAGAGCAGAGGCTGCCGAGTGCCCTCAGCCCGGAGCTGGCCGCAGCACGGCCTCGCTGCTCCTCCTGCCACCGCCGTGCTGCCCGGACGGCTTCCAGCCAGGCTCTGGCCGCTTCGGCACAGCCTCAGGTGCAGGCAGCAATTCCCACAGCGAGCACGGCCCGAGCCGGCTGCCGGGCCTTGGGCAGTTTCACAGCTCGTTCTCATGGCACATCTGCACCCAGGAGAGGGATGGGGGCAGGGAGGGAGGATGGAGGCTGCTTTTTTTTACTCTAATGATGCGTCGCTTTCTGCTGGGATTCTTTGCTTCCTTTGCTGGGGACATTCGCACATCCTTGTCGTCACAGGACCCCACCTTGCTGTCCTGCCATTCCTTTAACAGGGTGTACAACCCTTGGGAGCAGGGTCCCACTTAGGAAGGTATCTGGAGAATTACAAGAACCTCACGGGTGAAACCTTGCAAGGCACCCTGAAAGTGAGGCTATAATGTGCTCAGGAATGTAAGCTTTGAAATACTTTGGAAAAAGCATCTCAACAAAAATGTACTGGGGGCATTTGCAGTTAGCTGCCAGGAAGGGGCCTGCTAGGATCATGTGACAAGTAAATGTCCAAACTTCTTCATTGTCATTACTTTTGTGATTGTTAAGTGTTTCTATTATAAAATGATTGCTTGTGGAATTCTACATACAATACAAGTGCTGTTGTTGCTGGGGACATTGGTTATAGCTCTTGCCCAGGGAATTTGGTGTTCCTGTGCCCTGGGGAAGTAAGCAGAGTCCATTACCCAGCAATGGAGACTTCATAAGCGGCTGCTGTGTGGTGTGAATGCTGACTATTGGATGCAAGGTGTGAGTGGTGTGAATGTGGGAATCGAGTCTAATTGGCTGTTTGTGTAACCTCGTATTTGTTATCAGAGGCTTGACCTGTAGTAGTGTCCAGGGATTACAGTGGAATAGAGGAAAGTGGCGTTTCGGTTGGTGTTGTGGACTGGGCTTGAAAGAGGAATATGCATGTGCTCACACTAACATTCTAGCTATGAGGTGTGGACTTTGGGGAACAATAAAGAATCAATGAAATTGAGTATGGG